TGACAATGATGTGACTTCTCCCCAAAGATCACACTAAAAGTAATCATTTGGCGTAAATGAGAATCTATTCATAATTATCAACTTTTATGGAAGTATGTATTAGATTTACTGATTGTCCAAATCTTTTACTATGAAAAGATTGTGTTGAAACCATTTGGCAAAAGCCAGTTCACATTGAATGTTTACTACTTTAATCATCTTGACAAATTCAGAGCTGTGGTGGGGACAGCAGGCACTCATCTCTTCCTTAAAATTATAAATTTATAAAATAAAAACAAAAACAAATGGGGATTTAGAATTGGAGCAAATATAGGTTGAGGCTTCCCTTGTCCTAATCATATGACAGACTAAGAGAAAGCAGGAAGGCGCCCTAAATTTAATATAAAAATCAAGCTGGGCAAGGTGGCTGGTGCCTATAATCCTAGCACTCTGGGAGACCAAGGCAGGTGGATTGCTTGAGCTCATGAATTCAAGACCAGTGTGAACAAGAGCAAGATCCCATCTCTATTAATAGAAAAACTGGCCAAGCATGGTGGTGGGCACCTGTAGTCCCAGCTCCTCAGGAGGCTGAGGCAGGAGGATTGGTTAAGCTCAAGAGATGGCGTTTGCTGTGAGCTATGATGACACCACTGTACTCTACCCAAGGCAACAGAGTGAGATTCTGTCTCAAAAAAAAATGCAATACATATATACATAAATGAGAACCTCATGATTTTTTAGGGGATTCATTCATATCAAACTACAAAGCATTTGGCTTACTGATAATGTGATCAGCCAATTCAAACACTCACAGTTCAAGCTACATAGACAAAGGCAGCTGGAAGGTGCAAGTCCAAAGCCACAGGTCAGGCTCTGATTTCTATGGCAACACCAAAGGCTAGGAGTCCTGGAGGCAGGCTCAGGTTTAGAACTTGGGAAGGAAGGGAGGAAACCATTTCACCCTACCCATATGTGCCTAGCTCTCAACTTACCTGAGGCTCAACACACAACCTGGCCCTGAACCAGGAATTATGAACAGAGAAGCATTGTATGTTATGAAAATATCAACGATGTCAAAGCCACACAGAGAAGTGAGGCAAGCCTGCAAGGTGATTCAGTGCAGATGCTGCAGAACAAAAGGGCTTTCACTTGAGAGAGCTGCTGAACGGTGGCCGTGTAAATGGACCCTGGGCCACGCGTGTGTATTAGGGGTGTGGCTTGTTCTCCCCATAATTGCAGGTTCCTGGGTAGCAGGGTGAAAGTAATTTCCAGCACTGTGCGGTAGTTCACCACTTCCGTGCTCCAGAGAACTTCTAGCTATTTAGCCCCAGCTGGACATTTACAGTCAGGCTGCAGAACTACCCCAGAGAAGCAGCTAGAGACGCAACCTCTGGGCAGCACTTGTCAGTCCCACCCACAGCAATTAGTTAGGCTGGGTGCATATATTTATAAATCCTTATAGTTTCTTTTTTTAAATGAGGTTTATATTGGTCTTCTAAACAGGTAATAAAAACAGGAGTGTAGGCCAACCAAGGACAGAAATGAGGGAAATTCCATGTTGGGAAAATGACCAGACTTCTCTAAACCTCGGTTTCCTCATCTACAAAGTGGGGTATATAATAACCTCCCTCTAGGTTGTTGTAAGAATTAAATAGGCCAGGCACAGTGGCTCATGCCTATCATCCCAGCACTTGGGAGGCCAAGGTGGATGGATTGCCTGAGCTCACAAGTTCAAGACCAGCCTGAGCAAGAGTGAGAGCCCGTCTCTACTAAAAATGGAAAAATTAGCTAGGTGTGGTGACAGGCACCTGTAATCCCAGCTGCTTGGGAGGCTGAGGCAGGAGGATGGCTTAAGTCTGGGAGTTTGAGGTTGCTGACACCACAGGACTCTAGCCTGTGCATCAGAGTAAGACCATCGCAAAAAATAAATAAAAAATTAAAGGGCCAGTGAAGTGTGGAAAAAGTGCGGAAAAAAGTGTGGAAAAAGATTTTGTGCTCCATAAATCTTAGCTATTATTTCCATTATTGATCACTACAAATTAGTATTTCTCAACACAGACGCATGATGCTATTTGTGATCATTGCTTCTAGAAGCCCAGCTTGGCAGATGACAACAACCCCTCTCTGTTGTTCCTATCTTTGAAGTAGAACACAAGTTTTGACGTCCCAAATTGGCTCAAGGCAATTCCTGTTTAAACTCATTTCTTAATAGGAAGGCATCCACCTGTGCCCTGAAGTGTTGAGTTGAAGACTTAAACAAGGGCGGTCTCCAATTTTTTTTTTTTTTTATTAAATGATAGCTGTATACATTAATGCAAACATGGGGTACAGTGTAGGTCTCCAATTTTTGAAAGCATGGAAATCATCCAGTCCAGGGGTCCTCAAACTTTTTAAACAGGGGGCCAGTTCACTGTCCCTCAGACTGTTGGAGGGCCGGACTGTGGGCCCCGGGAAGAGTTGGCTGCTAAGCAGGACAGGCAGCGGCGGCAAAAACACCCAGCAGGCCGGATAAATGTCCTCTGCGGGCTGCATGTGGCCTGCAGGCCATAGTTTGAGGACACCTGACGTAGTCTATGGATATAGATTTCCAGGCCCCATCCTCCAAGTTCTGATTTAGTAGGTCTGGGGTTTGGGACCTTAGAATCACACCACTTTTTACCCATGTGCACAGGTGCACACACACATACACGCACACCTGCCCTAATTCTGAAGCAGAAGGCTTTTGGATCACGTGGCCAGAAGTGTTCTCTGCAGGTCTCAGACCCTCTTCCAGCTCTGTGGTGAGTATATGCCAGGAGCTTGAGGTCATCAAAAACCCCTCCAGTCCTTTCCCCTGGACCATTTAACTGGCTAGTGCCCATACAGGCCTTATTTTAATATTAGCACGGGTGCATGGCTTAAATTCGAGTATACCCACACAGAGAGGGTATACTAAGGGAATGCTTCCCAAACTCGGCTGCCAAGTAGAAACCCTGAAAGAACTTTTTGATGTGCTGCACCCCTCCCTCCATCTCTCTGGTCTATGCTCAAAACTAATTAGAAAATGGGCAAAAGACACAAAGAGACATTTCACTGAAGAGGATAGACAGATGGCAAATAAGCACATCAAAGATGTCCAACATCCTCAGTTAGGAGGGGAATGGAAACGAAACCGCAACGAAATGTCACCACACACCTACAGAATGGCTAAAGGAAAGTGCAGGGACGATATCGATGTTGGCAAGAACGTGGAGAAATTGGATCGCCCATACACAGCTGCTGGAAATGTGAAATGGGCCTGCCACTCTGGAAAACAATTTGGCAGTTTCTTAAAAAACTAAATCTATACCAGCAATAATAAGCAACGAGCTCTTGATACACACAACTTAGATGAGTCTCAAGTATGTTATGGTGAGTGAAAAAGCCAATCTCGAAAGGGTACATACTGTCTTAACTCCATTTATATAACATTAATGACATGACAAAATTCTAGAGGTGGAGAACAGATGAGTGTTTTTCAGGGGTTAGGGATGTTGGAGAGAAGGAGTGTAGGTGATACCGGAAAGGGAAATCTTTGCGGTGATGGAATTGTTCTGTATCTTAATTGCAGTGGCCGTTATATGAATCTACACATGTGATAAAATGGCAGAGAGGTATTTACACATATTGAACTAAGGTTAACTTCCTGCCTTTAATATTGTCATACTACAGTTATGTGAGATGTAACCATCAGGGAGAACTTTGCAACCTCCTGTGAACTATTTGAAAAGGAAAAGAAAGATCCTGATGTCCAGGCCACTCCCAGACCCATGACATCCAAATCCTTGAGAGTGGAGACCAGGCATCAGCACATCACCAGACTCCCCGGGGGTGACTAAACATAGCCACTGTTGTGGTCTTTTGTCACAAGGCAGTTTGTAGCTTCTGCTGCCACTAATTTTTCATCTTCTGAGCATCAATCTCAGTAGTGTCCAAGGTTCCGCATGGCAGGGCTTTGAGTGCCAACACTGGTTGCATAGTGATAAGGCTTCTGTAAACCCTGGAACGGGGCCAACTGATGACATTTCCCGAAGAACGTAAGTACTGTTCAGTGTGTGTGAACCTGAGCCCTGGCAGTGAATGGGTGGGAGAACATGGGGTTAAACTAGGCCCTGGGTTTAATTTCCCTTTGTCTAGCTCTCTAGAAAATACAAAAACCTGTCTTAGTCTTCTCTTTAAAGTTCATGGCAGATTCCTGAAGTATTTGCTAAACATCTCCAGCCACAGAGACAGACTCTCATACAAAGAGGGCAGAGATACAGACGGATTTCCTTTGGTTACTACAATTGATTTTATCTCCATGGTTATCTTGTCTAGCATCTTATTTTATTTATTAATTTATTTATTTGAGACAGAGTCTCACTTTGTCGCCCTTGGTAGAGTGCCATGGCATCATAGCTCACAGCAACCTCAAACTCTTGGGCTTAAACTATTCTCTTGCCTCTACCTCCTGAGTAGCTGGGACTACAGGCACCCACCACAATGCCCAGCTATTTTTAGAGATGAGGTCTCCCTCTTTCTCAGGCTGGTCTGGAACCTGTAAGCTCAGGCAACCGGTCCAGGACCTCCCAGAGTGCTAGAATTACAGGCACGAGCCACCGAGCCCGGCTAGCGTCTTATTTTAAATGAATGAAAACTATGGCATAGGGCCAGGCATCGTGGTTCACGACTCTAATTCTACCACTCTGGGAGGCTGAGGTGGGGGTATTGCTTGAGCTTAGGAGGTCAAGATCAGCCTGAGCAAGAGTGAGACCCTGTCTTTACTAAAAAATAGAAAAACTAGCCAGACATTGTGGTGAGTGCCTGTAGTTCCAGCTACTCAGGAGGCTAAGGTTGGAGGATCACTTGAGCCCAGGAGACTGAGGTTGCTATGAACTATGGTGCTATGGCATTCTACCCAGGGTGACAGAGTGAGACTTTGTCTCAAAAAAAA